ATAATTTAATGTTTAAAGATTATTTCATGTAAATGTTGGCCGCGACTCCGCTTTAGATGGCCCTTGCGCAAGGTCCAATTTTGGCACACTCTCTCCAACATATCGGCCGGTATCTCACGAATAAATGCTTCAATATTGGCTTCCAGTGCGTCAATCATTGCTGGTTTATCCCTGTAGACATTAGCCTTAACATGGCCCCACAAGAAATAGTCCAACGGCGTTAAATCACACGATCTAGGCGGCCAATTGACGGGCCCCAAACGTGAGATAAACTGTTCACCGAACTCGCCTCTCAATAGGGCCATTGTTTCGTGTGCGATGTGGCATGTGGCACCATCTTGTTGAAACCACATGTCAGCCAAGTCCAGCTCTTCCATTTTGGGCAAACAAAAGTTTGTTATCATCGCACGGTAGCGCTCGCCATTCACAGTTACGTTCCGGCGATTGTCGTCTTTGAAGAAGTACAGCCCGGTGATGCCACCGGCCCATAATCCACACCAAACAGTGATTTTTTCGGGATGCATTGGTAGCTCTTACAATGCTTCTGGCTGGTCTCCACTCCAGATGCGGCAATTTTGCTTGTTAACGTACCCATTCAACCAGAAGTGAGCTTTGTCGCTGAACACAATTATTCGATAAACGTGGATCTTCCTCTAACTTTGCCAGCGCCCATTCACCAAATTGGAAACGTTGTGGGAGGTCGTGTGGCTTCAATCCTTGCACCAGCTGTATCTTATAAGGTTTTACAGCCAAATCCTGTCGCAAAATTTTCCACGTAGTGGAGTAACAAAGGCCCAATTGCTGCGAACGGCGGCGAATCGACATCTCACGGTCATCACTAACACTGGCGGATACAGTCTCAATATTTTCTTCAGTCCTCACACTACGTCTCCGTGTTGGTGGTTTAATGTCCAATAGTGTAAACTGGGTTCGAAATTTAGTCACAAGCTTCCGAATAGCTCCCTCAGTAGGCCGACCAAATTGCCCATAAATTGGAAGCAGTGGTCGATGCACTCTCTTAACCGAGCATGAATTTTGATAGTAAGATTCAATAATTTGCAAGCGTTGTTCGTTCGTAAGTCGATTCATGGTTAAATTATAGACCAAACTGAACAAGTTTGACAATGACACAAGACACGATTCACGCGTCATATGTCAAAAACAGTGTTGCCAAAAAGATACTAGCAAAAAAATCACCCATTACTATATTATATTCCAGCCCAAGTATCTAAACATAAAGTACCTCGCCTGTCTCTCTAAATCCCAAACTTTTGGCATTACTCAAACTAAACTAAACACTTTTTGTTCTTTTCAGTTATTTCTTTTCATACCCTTTTCTCTCCCTTCTCCTTTTCGTCCTTTCTTTCTTATTTTTCTATCTTCTACTTATTTCTCCCCTGGCTAGGTTTGAGAGAATTTTGAAGAAAGAAACATCATTCGTCCAGGCAAGAACCAAGGACCTGGATCGCTGAAATGACAAACGAAGAGAAGTCAGTCTGCAGTTCCTTACACATTAAGACCTAACAGTGTCTTTTCGAATACCGTGATCGTAAGCGAGTCTACGTATATATTATTAAAAACAAAAACATAATATAGTTGAAGTACTTATCGGCTTGTTGTTAGAACTTACTAAAAATCACTGGTCAACACTGGTTTTGCCACACGAACTTTGACAGCTAATTTTATTTTATCAGTCTACCCTCATTATTACATGACAGCTGTCATATGTCTATTAGCCTCATATTTGTTGTGATACGGTAATACTCATAACTAGTACTACGGCAGTAAATTAACAGAAACGCTTACAAGTAAATCCTTATAAAAATATTTGTTGTTGAATTTGAACACTTTTTTGTGATTTATTAACCCTGTGAATATGTCGAGGAAGTGTAATAATGATCCTAACTCCTTTTGTTATGTCTGCGGAGAACTAACATTCAAAAAACAACGACGAAATTTTACGAATCTTGTGTTGGAGTCTTATCACTAATGTTTTGGTTTTTCTGTCGCCCATCAAGACAAATCCTGGGTCCCTTATGTCTGTTGCATAACGTGTGTGAAAAATTTAACTGACTGGAAGAAAGGTGCACGACCTATGCCGTTTGGTGTACCCATGATATGGACTGAACAGCGAGATCACGTTTCAGATTGCTATTTTTGTCTCACAGACATAAAAGGTATAAATTACAAGAAAAAAACCACAGTTATTTACCCTAACTTATCTTCGGCTATAAGACCAGTCTCTCATTGTAAAAAATTGCCAGAACTAATACCAGTTGCAACTACGTCTGTTGAGAACAATTCACAACCGTCCACTTCAGGTGAATGTGTTGACGAGGACGATGACTTTGAGTTAAAAGGAATTGTAAACGAGCCACATTTGATAACTCAAGGAGACCTGAATGATTTGGTTCGGGATTTAAATTTGTCAAAAAAGCAGTCAGAACTATTAGGATCACGTCTAAAGGAATGGAATTTGCTACATCATAATACAAAAGTTAGCTATTTTCGAAACCGTGATCAACACTTCAGAACGTATTTTTCTCAGGATGGAGATTTGGTGTTTTGCGATAACATAAATGAGATTATGAAAATGTTGGACATAGATTTTGATCTCTCCCAGTGGCGTTTATTCATTGATTCTTCGAAAGCAAGTCTAAAAGCAGTGTTATTGCATAATGGAAATAAGCTTCCGTCTGTACCTCTAGCCCATGCTGCAAATATGAAAGAAACCTATGAAAATATGAAACTTTTACTTGAAAAAATAAATTACAGTACATATTCCTTCAAAATCTGCGGTGATCTTAAAGTTGTTGCACTATTACTTGGACTTCAGCTGGGTTATACAAAGTTTTGCTGCTTTTTATGTGAATGGGATAGCCGAGACAGAACTAATCACTATATAAAAAAAACATGGCCTACGCGAGCATCGTTAGTTACTGGGCAAAAAAACGAAAAGTATTTACCCCTTGTACAGTCAAATAATGTGCTTCTACCACCATTGCATAACAAATTAGGATTAATAAAAAATTTTGTGAAGGCAATGGATCGCAATGGAAGTGGATTTTTGTATCTAAAAGAAAAATTCCCTAAAATAAGTGATGCAAAGATAAAAGAGGGTATTTTTGTTGGCCCTCAAATTAGGGAGTTAATAAAAGATTCAAGATTTGAAGAAAAATTAAGCGATTTAGAAACATCTGCATGGAAGGCTTTTAAAAATGTTGTTTCAAATTGTTTGGGTAACCACAAGAGTGACAGCTACAGAGAGTTGGTTAGCGAGCTATTATTGTCATATCAAGCATTGGGTTGCAACATGTCACTTAAGATCCATTTTTTAGACTCGCACCTGGATTTTTTTCCTGACAATTTAGGGGCTGTCAGCGACGAGCACAGTGAGAGGTTCCATCAGGACATTTCTAATATGGAAAAGCGGTACCAGGGCAAATGGAGCCCAAATATGTTAGCAGATTACTGCTGGACAATTAAAAGGGACTAACCAGAAGCTAAATATTCAAGAAAATCTTAGATTATTAAGTCATTTATAAAAAAAAATAACTTTTGATTTACGAGATCTGCGTTTTTTCTTAATATTTTAAATTACTCAATAGAATAAAATCCTTGTCTAGCAAATTTTTTTTAACTGTTTATTTTTTCTTACAATCACCAATTAAAGTAAAAAATATCAAAAAAGTCCGTGTGGCACGACAAAGTTAAAATTTTGTTGACCAGTGAAATCAGTACGAAGAAAAGTTTATTCATATATTCCTCTTCACTATCCAGTAGCTAAATTATATTACGTTTCCAATTTGTAAAAAACTTGTGATTGCATATATTCATGTATAAGCATCAATCGTGAATGCGTTTCTCTTCCTTGGCTCTAGAATTACTTGATACAGCAGCCATAAATCTTACTTGGCGAAAGGAAGTCTGATCCAACGAGGCTTGCAAAAACAATAGAATTCGATGCAGCTCGTGATAAATCTGATATTTTCGGGTCGTTTTTGTTAACAATTGTTGGGACAAGTATCACTAGCACTGATCTTTCTCAGTCTCTATTACTATCCTTCTCGCTAGCATTTGTGTTTGGTTCCTATTTTTTACTTTTCCAGCAAAACGCTACCAAAAATATTTTAGTCTAAAATAAATAGGCTATACAGTGATATGAGGCTTCACCTAGATTTTTCCTTCTTTCTCACCGCACCATACGATATATGACGATGGTACTATAACTCGAGGGTATATGCTCACTTCGTGTTCGAATTTTATTTCTCTTTGCGCAAGTTATTATTTTCAAGAATTAACTATGGACCAGTTGAAAGGTTCTACATAAATTAAGACTTAACCATCGAAAATGTGCTTGTATCTTTCCAAACTATTTTTATTGAATCGAATTGGTTTCAAATAATAATTTGGGCATCAGTGATATACAGGGTGTTCCAGAAGTCGACGTCAAGCCGAAACCGGGTGATAGGCAAAGTCATAACAGCTATCAGAAAAATATTTAAAAAAATTTGATGTATGTGTTTTGAAAATTATAGGTCTTTGAAAAAAATATAGAAATTTCACAGTCTACGGCAGTCTGTCAACTGTCAACTTTTTTTGGATTTTATTTTTACAATGTAATGATGAATAATGCATCTTCAAACTGGTGTCTCAACCTTACTGCCAACTTTTCTCGTTCAGGAAAAATTGCCACTTATTTCCCAACCAAGTATTTCAAAGTAAAACTTTGCTCAACTTTAACTGGCTGTACTGGAAAAAATGTACCAAGAGTTTGGCAAGTAACCTTAAAAGTTGGCGCATTTAATAGCTACTCCAAAATGGTATAACACTTAGAAGATTACTCGTTAACTTATGCACAACTTTTATTTGAAAAAAGACTGATGAAAATTTTTCAAACTTTCCTAATTAAACAGCGATTATGAAAACGCACAAGGACCCTTAAGGATAACTGTTTGCACAACAGTGGGCGTCAAAATGCTGCTGATGATGATTTACCTTTACAGCAAATGCTCAAACTGTTTTCCTTCAGCCGCAATACACGCTCGACATCTTCTTAAAAAGATCGGGTTATTAAACGAGCGAATCCACGGTTATTAACAAACTCAGCTGCTTCCAATAGTCTTTGCCGTAGCTCAGCTACATTTTGAATCGGCTTGAAATACACTTTTTCTTTTACAGTTCCCCAGTAAAAAAATCTAAAGGATTCAAGTCAGGTGATCGGGCTGGCCACGGTATTGTACCAGACCGCCTTATCCATCTGCCTGGAAAGTTTTGATCGAGATACTCTCTCGCTGAGAGTGCATAGTGCGCTGAGCAACCATCATGCTGAAACCACGTATTGTAAACAGATCTATTGAGTTTATTTTACAATTTTCATGATGTTTCTTTCCTAATTCTGGGTTTTTCTTTTGTATCTCTATTTGACAACCCGATTTTAAGATACATTTTGCATAAAAAAAATGCTTGGTATCTACACACGAACTGGCATAGCTAGATCCATTAACGATTTTAAATGATTTTAATGACACTGACTTTGAAACTTTTGGAAGTGTGGAGAAGCTCATTACATTTAATTAGAAATTAAACTATTAAATTAGAGCCCAAAATTGCCCTAAGGTAAAAATCGATCCAGTATGATGCTGAACTCGCTTTCAGACGTACAATTTATCAAAGATAGGAATAAGCGAAAAAGACAGTTCATAGTTTTTGATCTGCTAGAAATATACTCGAGACTCTTCGGGGTGGAAAAGCGTGAAAGCCACTAATCCGTATAACCTGACCATGAAGTATGACGTAAATTCACCAGATTTATAAAAGCGGTGCTGAACTTGGAATCTACGTTGCGAAAATATAAAATTGTGTTATTTGAGTGAGCTTTTCCCATCACAGCTTATTTATCACGTTGTATGGTGCGGATCTTGTGAAAGTCGAGAAAGAAAATTATGAGCACCGGATTTTGTTGAAGCATATCTGTAGAAAATAGGCCAAAGACTTTACCATGGTTTGTTTCAGTCCGCTTTTAATTCAACTTCTCCAGTTCCACACCTCCTCAACGCCAGATAATGCCTTGAGCAGTGTGTTAATTGAAATTGAAATAAACTATTTTCTGTGGACTAGATTCAAAACTTATGGTCAAGGCAAAGAATGTCCTTGAAACCTGCCAGTCAGCTTCATTGCTCTTGAGTTTGACCTGCACCATTGAATCGGGCACGCCGTGTTGCCAAACTGACAGAAAATGTTCAGAAGCTGCTACATGTATACTTAGCTGAATTAAGTCCAGTCCTTCTCACGAAGAGAGTCGCTGTTTTTATTCTCCTTTTGAAAAAATCTGAAACAATTCAGCACACAATTTGACACTGCACTTGTATCTCCACGCATTGCTATGTTTTATGTCGGAGATCAACAAAAGGTGAACTCAAATCGCACGCCCTTGACAAGCAGCTTGTCATACTGACAGTTACTGTCGTAAATGTAGAACCCGCATACGATAACAAGGAAATCTTTAAAGTGGGGAGAGAAAAATATTGTCCTATCGTCGGGTATTTCCCACATCCATTTTCCCAAAATATATGATGCACACTTTTACAAAATATTTGAATCATCACGCACACTACTTACTATGGGACCCGTTGGCTAACGTAAGCGAAAATTAGATTGTCAGCTATGCTTTGTGATTGCTGCGAACGATACACATGTATAATATTTAGTAGCGTACAACATATACTAAAATTGAACAAAAAGTATGTCGGTACAAATGATGGACAATAAATTCATCCAAAAACGATTGCCAGTCTGTCATTTTTGGCCATTGTATCTCTCTTTAATTATCCGCCTTGTCTACTTTCTCTCGGTATAACTAGACTTTGGTCAGAGTATCGCCTTTATATGTATTGGTCACTCGCCTTTTAAACACAGCATTTTTGCATAACAAGGAGTCTTCAAATCAGCTTCAACTATTCAGAAGTGTACTCTTCTAATCCAAACTTTATCCGTTTCATTTTGAGGCTCTTTCTACGCAAAGGCTACCCAAAGTTTTCTTTTACTGTATTGCCACTTTGCCTGACGACTTCAGGGACTTTCCTTTTAATGCCATTAGAACTGCTTTTCAATACGTTGCGAGCAGTTAGGTGAATGTTTTTGCTCTATAAAGAAGTGTAATTGGCGAAGAGTTCAGGTTGGAATTGTAACCAATTCTCTTCTTTTTATCCTCCTTTTTACTCCGAGACCCGCGTTAAAAGGTTTTAGGGTAAACTTCTTGCATATAAAAAGGCTATTTGATAAATATCCGGTTTTTTATTACCCTCTGAGGCCTTTTTTTCTGTACTGGTAGTTGAATACACTTTGGTATGCTCTAGAGATGTACTGTTTAATTTTTTTAGTTTCGAAAAGCTTGAAATCAACAGATTGTTCCAAAAATGAACTCTCAAGTATACCAATATCTAGCATTAGTGGAAGTGTGTCTGCAAAACCTCCAAACTGTCTCCAAAACTGACGCACGATGTGGAACTATAAATCCTCGATTCCACAGAGGAAGACAAAATGCAACAGAAATTATTATCAAAATTCTCATTTTCAAACTACTTAAACAGCTCTCAACTATACGTGCAACTCTCACAAACGCCCAGTAATAAAACGTGAGGTCACAGTAACACAGTTTGCCAAAGCAATGATGGAAATTATTTCAGCAAACACACGTCCATTAAAACAAATATTCTGATATTCGTGGATGCAGTAAGGGGAATAATTTATTGAAAACGACGCACGCTGCGCTGGTGACGTGGTGCTTCCAGTTATGTCTGTTTTATCTGCACTCAATTGACGATAGTAGAATATGGGCTACTATGGACACCCCCCACCACTTCCACTTTGGCCACGCCCACCGCGTGCTCTGATTGGCGGATCAGACGGCGGGAAATTTGAACGGGGTTGATGGTATATGTTGATTGGCGGGAACCGCTAGATCCACCGCGTGCTCTGATTGGCGGATCAGACGGCGGGAAATTTGAACGGGGTTGATGGTATATGTTGATTGGCGGGCTAGATGCCGCACCCGACCGGAAGTGATTCAGACAGCCAACGATAGTAAGGTGTAGTATAACGTCTATGCGTAAGTGATGTGACTCATTTCATGTTTTGCGGTAAATATTTGCATATAGATCGATAAAAGCCGATGAATACTGGTAATTATAGATGCAATTCTGCGGATTCAGTTTAATTGGAAAAACGTATAAAATTCGCGGAGAACAATGCGTATAGGATGATCTCAATAGTCATCACGTCATATTCAGTGTGCATATAAAAATGGAATTGCTCATATGTGGTGCATACAGTTAATGTTAGTTAATTTTTAACATTGATACAATATTGAAAACATAGTACAGTCTATATTGTGTATCTAATAGATTCCAACAAGGCAATCACCTACGTCGCAAATGAGGTTAGGTTCAGCGCCGGTGTAGTCGTAGCTGTGATATGCAAGAAGTACCGGGCGGGGCTGTCAAGCATGGGTGAATGGGCAGGGAGCGCAGGCTGTCAACTAGTTAATACCGGCCAGCGGTGACCTTGGAACACTGTGGTCAGTTAAAAAGTGGTGGGGGTATAATTGAGATTATAAATACCTATGAATCATCGCAAATTATCTTGTCAGTTAGCTACAGCGAACAGACGTGCTCAGTTCAGATTTAGTCGCTAGTTAACGTTTTAGTTTTTAAAAAAATGGAAAAATTCTTCATCGTTAAGGATTCTACTAAGAAGATTAAAAAATTTAATCTATATGGGCGAGAAGTGGAATTTAAAATACGACCTATCCCTAAAGACGTCGAACCTGTGGGATGGATCAAAGACGCTCTGGAGGAAATAGTAGCCAAAGGAACTGAACATCTCCAGCCCAGTGATCAAGTTGGATTCACTTTCTGTTCCAAAGACTTTACCCGCGGTCAAGGGTGGATAGCTTTTAAATCGTTTTCCGACGTTTCAAATGAGGACATATGGGAGAAGATATCTTCCATCTATCAGTCAAATTCTGTGGGGTTGAATACCGAGACTTTTTGCTTGGGAGTTACGTCCATAAGGTTGCCTGCTGGTCGTGGTAGAGGTCAGAATTTCAATACTTTTGATGAGGAATGCACCAAAAGAAGAGGTATTATCACCGTTAAAAACACCGATAATTTGTGTCTCCCACGAGCCCTTGTCATCGCCATGGCCCATTTGAACAAAGACAAAGATTATAGCAGAATCCGCCTCGATCGAGGAAAAATACAAGGACAAAGAGCTGCACAACTTGTGGAAAAGGCTGATATTGTTATCCCTGAGGAGGGGTGTGGAATACCTGAACTTCAAAAGCTACAACGATATCTGCAAAACTACAAAATTGTTGTATACAAGTTTGGGTGCAAAGGTCGTGACGTCATTTTTGAAGGCGTGTCCACTGGTTCGACGCTTAACCTAATCTATCACGAGGGGCACTACAGCGTCATAACATCCCTCACTGCTGCCTTTTGCTGCAGCTATTTTTGTGAGAACTGCCACATTCCGTATAATAATAAACAAATTCATAGATGTGATAAACAATGTTATGCTTGTAAAAGATCTCCGGCCTGCCTGAAAACGAAGCACATCGAATGCAAAGAATGTAATAGAAGCTTTTATGGACAAGAATGTTTTAACGCTCATTTACCATCGGTCTGTTCTAAAATTAAAAGATGTGTAGACTGTTTTAAAGTTCACAACGGTAATGATCACATCTGCGGACATATACTTTGTAAAACATGTTATAAAAATCAACCAATTGAACATATGTGCTATATACAGCCTGACAGAAGTATTCCAAAATCAAATGATGTCTTATTAATATTTTACGATTTGGAAACCCGTCAGGAGAAGGAATTACCCAACGGATCTTTACTTCATGAGCCAAATCTATGTGTATTCAAACAATGTTGTGAATCATGTACCGATAATCCTATATGCAAGAAATGTGGCCTTCGATTACAGATTCTTCGATGTCAAGACGTCATTTCTCCATTTATGCATCATATTCTGACACTTCGTAAAAAATTCAAGAAAGTCATTGTACTGGCGCATAATGGTGGAGGATTTGATCATCAGTTTCTACTTCGTTACATTTTAGAGAAGAC